GTGACACCTTACACAGCAGCAGAGAGACTCTAAGTCAAGGTTACCAGCTGAATGAGAGCTGTGCTACCATCGACACTGAGCTGCTGCACCAAGGTATTCTGCATTTTCCCCGTGGTTTAAACAGGGCTTTTCACAGGGAGTTCAGCGTGCAGGGAGGGACACACAACCCGTTCATCTGCTCTCCGCACTGACATTACGTTCCTGCCCCAACAGGGGTTGGGGATCCAGTGCCAGGTGTGCCCCCTACTAGCTGTGGTAGGGGACTGCCTCTTGCCCAGACTTGTCATATGCTTGAAGAAACAAGGTGCCAGAGCTGAGCTGTGTTTTGTTCCCAAACCATCAGCCAATACCAGGAACGTTTCTACTTGAGAAGAGGACAAACTCCAACAGCTTCCTCCTGGTCAGATCCCAGATACAGTCAGTGCAACACAAGGTTGATCCTTCTTCCAGATCAACGAGCAGAAGAATGAAGAGCCTCACTGGCTTACAAGTATTCAGACCATCCAGTGTAAGATCAAAGAGAAAAATAAACCAAACAGCTGCTTCACATTTGCCAAATCTTCACTAGTAACACAGCACAGATGCCTAGAAAGTCAATGGCAAACAGTGCAGATGCTTGCCATAGACTTCCTAGACAAGGACAAAGATTCAAGTTCCCACAGCCTGGGTGTGCAGGTCAGCCGTAGGAACTCTTATCCAACATAGCCACATTATCAACCTTGCCTGCTACATCCCCTCTCCCTCCCCTTCAGCGCTCTCAGTGCAGAGCTTTCAGCCCCTGGCACATCAGGCTCCACAACACACTCATGTACCTTTTGTCACACCAGCATTCACAACAAGGCAAAAACATTTTCTTCCTGTGGTTACTCCCACTAGTGAAAATGTTTTGTGGGTTTGATCCTTAATTGATGGCAAACTCAATCCCCATGTCTTGCAACAAGCAGTGTTCCAACTACTGTGTAGCAATTACAAAAGACATCCCATTATTAAGGGCTGTTGGCACCACAGGGTCCTATAAAGGGTTTTAACATCCATCCCCAAGGTCACATGGGTTAACATTTGCTCAGACAGCTTCATATTCTGCCAGGCACACATCATCCAGGATCTACAAGGCAAAAGCAACACAGAGACAGATGGAGGAACTCCATGAACATCGCTCCCTGGTGGGATTTCTTGGCATGCACCTACCCTTCCCAACAAAAAAGCTTCGGGATAATTGGTCTGCAACCAACCGATTTTATCACAATTCATCAGAGCCCTTCCCTGGTTCATCCGGCAGCACCTCAGGAACTTGCCTTACAGCTTCCTTTCAGCAGCAGCCCACGAACACAGATAAGAACCCAGTGCTTACTAGAGGCTGCCTGGACTGAAGCAGAAACCATTTGTATTAGCAAGGTGTTCAACAGCCTGGCCTCCATCCAGACACGGTCCATTTCACCGGGCTACTCAAGCACATGCTTAGCTTTAGACAATAAGCTTTGGGCTGAAAGGGGACCAGCCCGTGCACCCCTTTGCAGTACACCCTGAGATAACCCAGTGAACACTGCATCCTACAGAGATGGGAATTCTGAGAGCAAATGCATACCCACCTGCACATGAGGGCTAAACATTCATCTACTGGGGAAGAAACATGAAGAGGATTTATCCGAACAAGTTCTGAAGCAGAAGGGTTACAGCACATAAAACGCTCGTTCACGTTTTTGTAGAGGATTTTCAAATCCGTTACCTGCTGAGTGTTCTCCATCCATCCCTGCTGCCCTGCTACACTCATGGTGCAAGTCTGGACCATCCTCTTTCAGTATCCCATTACTGTATGGCACTGTGCTGTCTTCAGGTAGCTTCAGAGTAGGAGGTTTTTCATTTGGTACTGAGCTCTGCTCAGCAGACGTGTCTTGGGTTGCAGATATGCTCAGTGAGTCCGAATGCTGGCCTGATGTGACAGACAGCATTGTGTTTTGCAATGGGTCCTCCACACTCGTCCCACCTTCAGATGCGTACGTGCTGCACCCAGAGTCCTCCATAACCAAAGGTGACCTTTCCAGTGACCCTGCATGGTTTTCCACAGGAGTCCGATCAGCTCCTTGGGACTCACTGCACATACGGTTCTTCATCCGACAGTCTCTTGTGTCGCCCTGAGCCGGGCCAGATAAACAGTCATGTGTTAAACAGCTGGAACCTGTCACACACTGATCCCGTTCCTCAGTCTGCAGGGGTGTCAGTACCGCAGCATCACTCTTTGCAGCAACGTTCTCATCTGCTCCTGTAGCTTCCTCCGCAAGCATCTGACCAGAGGAAACAACACTTGCTGTCTCCGGAGGTCTCTCAACTCGGCTGGCAGCAGTCTGGGAGATCCAAGTGGACACATCACTTGCAGAACCAGACAGCACTTCCTCGGTTGCTGCCAAAATGACCTTGGAAATGATCTGTATTGCTACTTGCTCAATTTTCTCAACTTCTTCTTTGTCCAAACTTACTCCTCCAGTCTTCTCTCTTTCCAATTCATCTCCTTTTGGCTGCGTGTCCTCCTCCTGACACACAGGTACAGTACTGGCAATTGACTCAGACATCTCTTCTTCCCTGGACTGCTCCAAACAGGCAGACTCCAAACTATCTGGTAACATGCTCGCTGCAGAATCCTTGTGATTTGATACAACTTCAACTTCATTATTGAGAAAGGCTTCTGGGGTATTGGCTTCCTTCTCCAATCCCAAGCAAAGGGCTGTCACAGGGCCAGTATCCGATAGCACAGTTTCTGGCATCTGGCTTTCCTTAGGGGGCTTAAACGAAGAATCATCTGACTGCTCTGCATTGCTGGTCTCCTCCGTGATTCCCAAAGACTCCTGTGTCAGAGTCACTGATGCCGATCGCCACTGATCTTGCTTTGCGCTAGAGCTCGAACCCTGCGTACGGCTCACCGCAGCACTGCCGCGACACTCTGTGCTCCTTGAGGCCAGAGGGGGAGGAACACAAGCAGGGACGCTGCTTTCAACTTGAGATCCTACTGTTTCTAGTTTTTCACTGTCGTCCTCAAGGGTGCTGGGCTGAACCGTCGTTACTGACGGGTCTGGAAGGCCCCGTGAGAGATCTAGCCTCTCGTGAGTTTGACACAGCAGAGAGGGCGTCATCGACCCTGCTGACAGCAGGGAGGTCGCGGTTTCGTTCTCCGGGCATTCCTCTTCCGACGAGAGAGGCAGTCTTCGAGGAACACATGCTTCTGTTTTGGGTGTTGAACCATTCTCTGGCACTTCTTCCTGCTGCTCTTCTTCAATAGCTATTGCTTGTTTGTCATGATAGCTTGCATGCTTTTTTCTGTGGGAATAGATCCACCAGCAGCCAACAAGCGCCAGCACTCCAGGTATGGCATACAGGGTGAAACTGCGGAAGCATAAAGCCATTTTGCAGAGCCTCAGCAACTGTATCTAGATGGAGAAACAGAGACCATGTTAAAATAGTCACAGGAAAGGTAAGAGAAAGGCTAAAGTTTCATAAATGCCTTGAGGTCTTCCTATTAGCATGAACAGGCTTGTTTTCCAGCCCCTCTTTAAACTCACGTATCTGCTTCACCAGCAGACCACAGAACAAGATCTTTACCTAAGACTAGGGATCGCTGGACATTTCTCACCACTACACTCATCAGTTTCACCTTACCTCACCTTTAGACTTAAACTACGTTCGCTTTTGCAGGTCAGTACTGCGCACAAGGACAGCACGCAGCACCCCAAGTCTCTCCAGCATCAGGTGGGGTCCACAACGCAGCTGTACCACACGCGTTTCCCAGACACAGCCCTGATGCGCTGCGGGTCTCCCCCGTTCTCCGCTGGAAAGGCAGCATCGCGTTCCTGAGAGTTTCACAGGTCGACAACACACACTTCTCTAAAACATAACAACTCGCTGCAGGTGAAATGCTTTGCAAACGTCCTCGCAGGCGGCTGGTGTGCGGGCACACCACGCAACCCCGCAGTTAAGTAGGAGCTACACAGCAACACGCAGCTACTCCATTTACCTCTACACACACAGCGTAGGAATTGCTAAACAAAGTGCAACTACAGCCTGATGAAGCACGTGCCTCCCGATAACCAGAAGTCGCTCTAAAAGGTTTCACAGTAGTGAAGATGGGAAATATGCTATAACACCCTTATAATAGCAGTGTTTCTCTAGCAAAAGCAGCCTCGATAAAGATGCTACCACTAAGGAACCCAGCTGCAAAGTTTGTTCTACAGCTAAATTTACTACATTGACAGCTGCTGCTCCTCTGACTTTCTAGAGCTGGAACCTGTCTCTTCTGCTCTAGACAGCACGTGAACCTTTCCCGCCTGGACAGCGCTGAGACTTGTGTCCTGGTCACGCTCCTCCGTTTACAAACCTCACCTGGGTTACCCGAGGCAGGGCTGACATGCCTTTCCTTTGTCTTAAGGGAAGTCTACAGCAGGAACGCAAAGCTCAACAGTTACCCACATCCCTAAAACAGCCTCGCTGCAAAGCACTTACGGTTTATGTTTTCACTGAGCAGGAATTAAAGCAGAGCACCACGTGTCTGACAATGCTTACACAGGACAGGCTTTTCCCCAAACAGACCTCAAGACTTTTGCCAATGAGCAATAAAAATAAAGACTGTTTTCAGGAGATAACAAAGCCCTAGAAATGGGAACCACCCACTGAAGAGAGTATTATCTAGTTCCTCTTCAGAAGCTTAATATTTCTTAGACAAGAGAAGACAATCAAGTGGGTCTCTCAACTATGCTTAGTCTGTCTCAACCGGAAAAAACCTTTTGTTATCAGAGCAAGTGTTCTGACCGCGGCTTCCAAACACAACCCTCCTCCGGGGCCTCGACTTTCGCAAGGACCTGATTACATTCTAGCTGAGGGACAAAAACATGCCTCCCTCAGGCTCCACCTGAGCATCCAAGCCTCAGAGAATTTAATATTCACTCCAGATTTCTCACCTCCTCCAGCTACACCCTCCCATCCCACAGCAGCAAACACGCACGGCTTTACCCGGGCTCGGACACCAGCCTTGCTCCCTACCGTTCACTGCAGAGTCCCAACGACTGAGGGGAGGACTCAGTTTCTGCCATTCATTTCATACGTAAATGAGTGGCAGAAACAGGGACTAGCAAATTTCTTGCTCAATCCCAAATCAAACGTTAGTTGCAGACAAGATTCAAGAAATCCAGTAACACCTCTAGTATATCACAAATGAGGTATTTATGCTGTTCTACGTGGGAAACTTGAGTCTGCGTTCACTGGACATTCATATCTGATATCTTCTAAGTCAAAGTTACTTCCAGCTGCCTTTACACAGTCAGGCAGCAGAGCTCACTGCTGAGGATGAACTTTCGGTTAATGGCAACATCGGAGATTTGGAATTAAAAGAAAACAACAAACCTATGCAATAACTTGTATGTTTGGTTTTTGGAACTTGGTAAATGGAAAGGGTGAAGCCTGTACATTCCCAAGACAAAAGGTTCCCATTTGTGCTCTACAGCACAATGGCACATTGTGAGCCACTGCAAGTGCTCATCTGCCGCCCGTTTAAGTTGTTATAATTAATGCAGAACCACCCTACAAGCTGTCTCACAAGCGTACCACAAACTCAAATTAAAGTAGCTCACATAGTCCATTCCCAGCAAGCTTTCCTGATTAAACAGACAGCCCTATTATTATCCGATTCCCTATTAAGTTGCACCAACTGTACAAACAATAGTCCCACACAGCTCTGCAGCGCAGGAAGACAGGAGCAGGATGCTCCACAGAGGGACAGGCCCGTCCCTACACCTGGCAGACAAAACAGTTCTAAGAGTCATTTTGAACATTAATATCATTTAAGACAAAGATCTTCACTCTTCTGTGATATTTAGATCAGTGGGGACCGGTGGATTAGCTGACTGCTCCTTGCGAAGCTCATTTAATTTCATGTTTTTAATTTGACTAGTTTTAGCAAGAGTTGCATTATACTATCTGTAATCGTGTTAAATGGGAATTCCACATCCTTCCATCAACTAGGAAGGGATAAAAGGCAGTGGCTCCGCACAAGACGCCAACAGACACCCTGAAGCACGGGGCTGTCTTAAGGGACAGCCGACACCAACAAACAGCTCCTTACATCAACGTGACAGAAGACTTTGGTGCCCTGATTTTGATATGCTGGTCACAATGTCACTTTTTATGTGATGCCTAGTATTTTTAACTAGCTCAAGTTGTAAGATGCAGCACATACTTCTCTTTCATTTCCTCCACAGGGGAACTCCTCACGCCCACATTCGTTTTCCAGCACGTTTAAGAGCGACAAAACCCTCTCTCCATTGCCAACTTGACAGCCAGTTCAGGACCACAGGGGCAACGGGATCATTTAAACACACAGGGGGAAGAAAGCCTGGGATTTTCCTGCCAGCAGCAGAACAGAAAATGGCAACTTGTCAAATCACATGGCTTTAAACGCTGCCAAACTGGAGGGAGCCTGGCCCGACAGTCCTTGCACTCTCCAGGCAGGAGGAGCCAGCGGGGGACGCCCGGCAGCTCCACAGGCTTTGGACCGGAGACGATCAGCTTGCAGAAGCCAGAGCCGGTCCGAGGCGCTGGATGCCCCAGTGCCGCTTCCCAACGCGCAGGGCCCCGTGCAGTCCCGCACCAAAAATAGAGCTGAGCTAGCGCAGAGCTCACACACTGTAGGCGCTCGCCCCGCACCACCCGCCACTTCCACTTCCTTCTGGCACGTCAGGAATCCGGTCTAAATGTCACACACCTTATATCAAGGCACGGCCGGAGAGCTGCAGCTAGGACATGAGACTTTTCCAACTTGCTAAATAATCCCCCCCCAGTAGGTCAGGATGGGATTAAGACACCAAGGGGAGAGGTAGGGGTCAGTCAGATCTCCAAATCTGTATTCTGACTTGATTTATGGAAAACTCCTGGTAAAGATCAGGGAGATGAGGACAAGAATGAACGCACACTTGCCTACCTTAGAAAAAGCCAAGGACAGTCAACTTATTCTACTTGTTCGCAGAAGGGCCCGAGCAGTTTTAAGCCACCTTGTTTCTCTAGCCAGGACAAACAACCCTTCAGTATACACAGCCTTATAAGGTTAGAAATGTTTGCAGCACGAGGTTCACAGAGAAGCCAGATAATTCATTCTCAAGGTCCGAGAGGAGAGTTCAGCGAGCACTCGCTCCAGTTTTCAGGGCTTTCCACGCACAAGGAGGTCTGTTCTGGGGGCAAACTGCTTCAAGCCGCTACAAGAGGAGAGACGAGGACAACTCCCAAGTGACGGAGCCCCCAGGCTCCACAGCGACGTACCCTACAGAGCCACCAGTCCCTGCCTCCTCCCCTTCCCTCCCGCCCCAGCACTTGAGGGGTCACGCTTCCAGACCCCGAAAGCTGTGGGAATCGAGGCTGGAATTAAAGACCGGCTGAAGGATCACAGAGCAAACAAGCAGGCAGCTTAATTGGAAATGTAGCTTCAATAGCAAGGCCAGGATGCCTCCCTACAAACCCTATAGTTAGCAATACAGCACTCGGGAAATAAATACTATCTGGGTGAAAGAGAACTGGACAAGGCTGGCACAGTGAAAACTAAATGGGACCACGTGGGCTCTTAAAATTTTCCATGCTAAAAATAACTGGTAGCACATGCTCTGCCTTATAGGCGGCATAAGAACAGGAATTGACAAAAATCTAAGGAACTGGAGGCCCTACCATTAAGGTTAATCAAAAGCAGCGTGGGCAGCAGGGCGAGGGGGGGATTGTGCCCCTCTGCTGCGCTCTGCTCTGGGGAGACCCCCCTGCAGTGCTGCCTCCAGCTCGGGGGGTCCCAACAGCAGAAGGACACGGAGCTGTTGGAGCGGGGCCAGAGGAGGGCACGGAGATGCTGGGAGGGCTGGAGCCCCTCTGCTGGGAGGACAGGCTGGGAGAGTTGGGGGGGGTCAGCCTGGAGAAGAGAAGGCCAAAAAGGGGAGAGCTCAGAGCCCCTTCCAGTGCCTAAAGGGGCTCCAGGAGAGCTGGGGGGGGACTCTGGATCAAGGACAAGGTGATAGGACAAGGTGGAAAGGTTCTAAACTGAAAGAGGGGAGGTTTAGATTAGACATTAGGAAGAAATTCTCTCCTGTGGGGGCGGTGAGCCCCTGGGGCAGGTGGCCCCGAGGAGCTGTGGCTGCCCCATCCCTGGAGGTGTTCAAGGCCAGGTTGGACGGGGCTTGGAGCAACCTGGGCTGGGGGGAGGAGTCCCTGCCCAGGGCAGGGGGGGGCACTGGATGGGCTTTAAGGGTCCTTCCAACCCAAACCCTTCTGTGATTAAAACAAGAGGAATTGCTACACAGAAACAGACATAGAAAGACTTATTTGACCTGCCCTTGCATACAGCACATTTTCATTGCAAACTGAATCAGCACATGGCACTGCA